ATCAATCTTAATTACCTATAATATATTAATGTTGCTTAATTCAATATCTCGTGTGTTTGCAAATAAATGTGTGACTTTCAATGATTCACTGATAGATAGTCGATTGACTCTAACCTTCTAGTTGATTGGTGAACTCCGTACCGATTTGGTACATTTGCTAAAGGTTATAATTGACCGATGAGAGTGTTAGATGTGGGGGTTGTTGGAAGAGAAATTTACCCCACTTACAATCCTTGGACTAAATAATATCAATTTTACAATCAAATAGATCTTTCATCAAATTTACGATCTATGATAACTAACATAATATTAATAATAGATTAGGCGGTTATAATTTTGCTGATTAATGGATAAGTGATGTTAATTAGGCGGTTTCAAAAATTGAAAACAACTACACCCAATTAAACCCATCTTACATGATTTTCGGAAATCGTGATTTCCTACCAACTTTACACTCAAAGGAAAAAAAAATAGAAAAGATATCATTCATCTCCCCATATCTTGAGTATAGTGCTTAGAAATTCTCTCTCACCAAAAATCTCTCGTCTCTCTCATCTCTCGTACACAAAGCTTGAATATTTGAAAAAGCTCCAATCTCGGCGATAGAACAATGTCGAAGCGAACAAAAATTGAGGGCAAACCATCCGAAATTGAACACGAAACAAGGATAACCCGCTCCCAATCTCATCAAAAATCGCAATTTCAACCTCCCGAGCGCAAGGTTGTACAAAAAAAGCTCCAATTTCAGAAAATGGAGGCTCCAAATCATGGCAAAAATTTTATTCTGAAGACCGCGGACGGTGAGTCGGTCGTCGGCGACGATTTTGTCTCCGAACGTAAAATCAAAAAAAAATAAAATAAAATAAGGTGGCGGACGACACCAACAAGAAGATGGTTCGAGGAAAACAGGTTAAATCGAAAGATGTTGCTATATCCGATTTTACTTTTTTCTGGTGAACTTCAGTGAATGTATATTGCTGTTATTGATTTGGATATTTGATTTGCAGGATCTTATCCTATCAAAATGCACTTTTTGGACCCTTTTTTTTCCCAATCCGGTCTTGTAAGTTTTTTCAGACCAGTTTTTCTTCAGTGAATGTATATTGGTGCTATTGATTTGAATACTTTAAGTAATGTGTTTACCTAACGGATATTATACCGTGTTGTAAACATAAAATAGAGACATAAGCACATATATTGTTTAACTAATGTATATTACATACTTTAAGTAATGCTTTTACCTAATGTATATTATGCCTATGTTGTAAACATAAAATAGAGACATAAGCACACATATTTGTTTAACTAATGTATATTACATACTTTAAATAATGTGTTTATCTAACGTATATTATACCGTATTGTCAACATTACATATAGCCATAAGCACACATACGTGTTTAACTAATGTATATTACATACTTTAAGTAATGTTTTATCTAACGTATATTATACCGTATTGTCAACATAACATATAGACATAAGCACACATACATGTTTAACTAATGTATATTACACCGTGTTGTTGGTGTCCACGCCTACTACTAAACTAGTTATACCAATATATTTTTAGAAAATCAACTCGAGTATATGATTGTTACTTATCTATTGTTTATTTATACTCATAAGACACATAAATCTACCAAATAATCACTGGCCTCATATTCTTATATGTACAACTTATATAGGTTTGAATTTCACCATTCATTTATTTTTATAAAATACTCCTGTACAAATGTACTAAAAGTAAGGAATAACGAAACAACCATAACGGAAAGGTCATTAATATTATGAAAACTTAAACATTAAGTAAACACATCAAACTAATTTTGTTTCACTTTCTTCGGATTTGAACATGTCTTTACATTATGCCCTTTCTCACCGCATTTGCTTCACCTATTTTTTACTCGAGACTCCCATCTTGGTTTGAGTCTTTGCTGTCGCCTACGTCCTGGCCTCACTCTTCTAGTCGGTGGATTGATTTTTCCAATGACATCAGCATCAAACCCTTACAATGTTGGTCGTAGCCTGACGTTGACCACTTGTACGTATCTCAAATGGACAAGAATGGTTGCAGCCCACATTTCGAATCTTGAAAATATTGGATTTTCCTACCCTCGACACTTTAACATACCATTTGCATTCCGCACACTTCTCCACTTTGAACTGATACTGGTTTGTTATTGCATGGTGGCTGAGCAATTTCATCACTTCATTTTTATCTCTGAAAGTTTGGCCAACCACAACATCGGACATCATACTTCCATTGACACCATCGTCAAGTGTTCTGGAGTTGTTTATCTCCTGTTTATCTTCCGTTGCTGCTTTCAGCATTGTATCTGCAGCATGTTCGGCGAAAACTCTGTAAAATCCATCTATATCAGAATCTACCCGAGCCGTTTCAAGACATTTTAATGATGCTATATCAGACACAGGCTGATATGTAGACATTGGCATTATGCTTCGAATGGGTGAGGTCGTGTTTATTACTTGTTTTACAGCCACACACAAGGGCAACTTTGTATAATAAAGCTCCTTCAGCTTCAATGAAATATAGAAATGCAGGGAACTGTCGTCATCAACAGTCATAGGTGGATATCCATCTTTCACTTGATACTTCATCTTCATATCATTTGAATACACGTTTATTTTCAGTTTATCAAAAACAATATCTCGGAGTTGATTATAGTTACATAATGAACTAATCAAAATACCTTCGACTTCATAGTTCACGTATTCATTGTTCATCCATACTCCATTATGATGTAAAAACACATTCACATCAGTCATGTTCCTGAAAAATAAACAGAATATGAAAAAAAAAATAAACCGATAA